CTTCATATTTGGTAAAGCAATAATGAGTTTTTGATTAAGAAACTAAACGATTTCAAAGCGAACAACGGCAACACTGTACGGGAGGGAAAAATAATATCTCCAGCGAGCGTGACTTATATCGCAAATTCTAAAGATATTCTCTTTTTAAATTATTTTGCGATATTGCTGTTGAATTGAATTTTATGGTTTAAGTGCAAAGAACATGATATTTAATAAATAAAAATAACATACGTTAAAAAGAAGTTAAAAAACGCCCCTATGGGCGTAATATTAAGGCTGAAAGCTTTGAGACTTTTTTTTTAAATTTTTCTTTCTACACTGCTCATATCTTATATTCGTCAATCGATGTCATGTCGATTTCGTCTATCGATGTCAACTCATGTCGATCAGTCATGTCATCGATTTAAAATAACTGCACATTTAATGTAACGCCTATATGAAATTTGTCTTACCTCTTATCGGCCTTACTGATGTATTGGGCGAACTTCTTGATGTAATTGACATCATCAATAAATAAATTTTCATCTTTAAAAATTCTAGCATATATTAATCCATTGAAGTATTTTAGCCAGTCAACCTATCGAAAGGTAAAAGAGAAATGTTCCGCAGGTTTATTTGCACACAAATTTTTTTCCAATATAATTTCCATAAAAGAAAAGGAATGCAGTTTAATATTAGAAGATTTTACGAGAATACGTTGATTTTTCGATGCAGAAAACTTGAAAAATCAACTGTGTGCTGTTTGTGATATGAACAAAGAACCTTCCTCTTCAATATAATTCCGGATGTAAACTTACAATGCATGATCACGAATAGTGTAATGCTAGCTTTTCCTAAAGGAAAATATTCAGAGGACCTTCTGTAGAAAACTGGCTTCTGCTCTCGTTACGCATGAGAAAAAATACGAAAATTCCTAGCTGGTCGGTTTCCAGAATTTGAACATGATTGGAACGACGAGCTTTGTAAGGTCTTACTGCTCGCTCGCTACAGGGCAAACAAATTTAAAAGTTGTTTACAATAATGAATCTATGAGCTATTTACAATAATAGATACAATAACTGATATTATAATTTACCATAATTTGTACAGTATGTCGAATTATCTAATACACTCTGCAAAAAATATATATACACTCAGAAAGAATTTAGTCATAATAGGTCGGCAGAAGTACAGTAGTAGACAGGCAAATAGTAGATAAACAAATGATAAAAAAAATGGGAGAAAAAACGTTTTATTTACGAGTAGCAGCACAAAAGCCCCTAGAAACCATACAGCCAATACTCGGCTGAGTACTCAACCTTTTAAGTTGCCAGTGTCCCTTCTGAGGTAAAATGTGCCACAAATAGAGCAACTGTGTCGCTCAGAAATATATAGTACCTTGGACCGCTCACCTGTTCGTCTCCAGACGCGTATACGGCGGTCATCAGCATTGAGAGAAAAGCGTAATTCGTCGCTGAAAATCACATGCTTTGATATCGGACACTATTGAGCAAGAGAGGCACCATTCAGACGATATTGCTTATGGTGGAGTGGCAATGGCAAGCAGTCTACGTCGATAACTGAGTCTAGCGTCATCTAGTCTTCTATGAATAGTGTTCCTGGATATACATCTAACCCTGCGAGTTGGCAGATGGTGTTGAATCAATGGTCACGTGACTACTGGAGCTGAGGTGACAGCTCTTCTAATTGCGCGATCATCTCGCGCATTGTTGGCCCGGGGACGTCCTCAGCCACTATGACCGCTGGCTATGCCTTCGCTGAGCCAGTGGATCCAGCAACGCACAATGACTATATCACTTCGATCAATATGTCGGCCGATCTGGCTGTTCGACCGACTGGCCTCTTTTAGCCTTATGGTGCGACCCTTCTCAAAGTCTGACAACTCTTCTTAACGCTGTCGAGTACGTCTTAAAGGTATTTTTCATTACACTGTCATGTATCGAATTAGTCAAGTGCGGTTGTAAATGCTCACCACTCGTCGTACCTGCTCTTTTACATTCTACCAGCTACGCACTTCAAATGCGAGTTGTATCGCTTCACATTGCTAACTGATACTGCAAGCTTAATAATTTACAAAACTCGCCAAACTACATTTACCTACCACATTTTGTAGTTGTGGCTCAATGTTTTTTGGTAAAAAGGTAAATAGGTAAAAAATTAATATTTCACTGTTAAAGAAAGAATTTTGAAAATAAATGACAGCTATAGCCAAAACGTTATTAAATACGCAATACTAATTGTCAAATACGCAACAGCAATACCCAAGCACTTACAGAAGCACATAATATTAATAGTAAAATAATTATAAAAGCACATAATACCAACAGGCAAAGAATTGTGAACTACACAATACCAATATCCAAAGAGAAACTGAGAAGAAAAATCTTGCTTCTCTTGTACATAAACCCAAATATCTGATGTAGTGGCTTTAAAGCTATCACTTTAAACCTAACTGATTATGTTATCTGATCTCTCATCTGTACAGAGGTGAATAACTGAATACGATTGACAAAAAAAAAATTATTTCACGACTAATATTTGCATAGAATGCCACCCAGTCGGTATGGTGGTCAGGGAAGCTGACTTCAATGCCGAAGGGCGTGGGTTCAAATCCTGGAGAAGGCATGGTTGTAACTGTCCGTCCCTTCATAGGAAAGGCGATGGTGGCTCACCTATTGGGTGCCTCCAATAAAGAGACCACCACATCCGGTCTTTGTATTGATTAATGGACTGGGTTACATTTGTAATTGTTCACAATCTGCCATTGGGAAAAAAATATTTGCATAGAAGAAAATAATTTCATTTTAAATTTTGATATATCATAGGGCAGATCATATAAACAGAAATATCATAAGAAACCCTGAATCACATAACCGTTCCAAATCTTCAAACTAATGAATGGCTTGAATGTTTAAACTAAATGAACGTTTATATCTTATATCCTTACAAGTTTAAAATCTTGCATCCCTTAGCTTAAGCTTAGCCCTCAAACTTCAGAAAATACATTACTTTACTGTCTTCTGTGACAGTTTTAATCGAAAAAGCCTTGAACAGGTAATGGTTAAGTTCATGTATAGAAATGGCCCAGATGAAGATGCAATTCCATAGTACTGCGTGCTTGAAAAGAAACCAGATGCTGGTAGAACTATTTGTAGAAATTATTTCTTACGGAAGAATGCAACTCAAATATTTCATAGAGCAACATTTGGTTATACAAATAGACGGACGTCATTGCTTACTCTTTGTAGTGTTTGTAGACTCTTTGTAGTCTCTCTGTTTGTAGATAATGGATATGAACTCTTACAGACATTTTTCGTTATGCATTACCAGCCTTTGAACACTAAACAAGCTCCCTGCATGGACTAAGGTCAACAGGTGCAAATATAAGTGGACAGGATACCAGAATTTCCCTAAAGGGTGTACAGGTATATCCCCCCCCACTAACTCTGCAGCTCCACCTCACCAAGACAGCCAGAGATGGTCCGAAGGTCTCCGAGTTCTCTTTCCTTACTACCAATCACTCGTGAAGGCTTTCTACTCGCCGTGTACTTCGAGTGTTCCCTTGCCACTCAGATGCTATATAATTATAAACATACGTGTTTTCTCCGAAATTCGAGCCAGACTCACCAATGACCGAGAGTAAATTCGTTGAACACTGGTGTTCGGTTAGGGTTCTAATCACGGCGAACGGACTGCTGCATGGGAGTTTAAATGGTTTTCCCCATGCTTAACATGTATACGAGCCAGTTTCCTTATCAAGGCCTCCACGAAGATATCCATTTCTCTAGGCAGATAGCCCTCGAGTGCTTTGCTTTAGTTAAGCACGATTGGGCATTTCTCGTTCCACGAGACTGAACCGTACTAAAAGTTCCTTCATCCCATAGAACCAGGCACAGAGATTGAACCTCCATCCTCGCACCTTGGAGAAAAGGACTCCTTGCTTAAAGCGACACTGGTCGTCAATTTGCTGCCTGCCAGTCGCTCAGGCTGCCCACCGCAGTGGGACGAGTGTACTAACCCCCGGGCTACTAAAGCCACACCGCTCTAAAACTCGCCATACCATCAGGCCAGCCAATGAGTGACCTCTCCGGGGCCTCCAGAAACACTAGGTTCACAGATTTTATATTCCCGAGGTTGAGACTGCCTAGGTACAGATCCTAGCCAGTAGCTTCGCAGATTGCTCTACGTCCACCTCCCCCGGGGTTGCTATAGTTAAATAAATCAACCAAACTAAACCGGATTCGAGACGGGGGCCCATCTTTATGGCAGTCAGTTTCACAAACCACCATGCTGTCTGGGCGCCACTGAGATCGATAATCTTTTCATCGATGTCAGCATCTTTGATTGGGTATTAGCTCGACTATATACTGGAAGATATACATGTGAGGTACATCATGCAACATTCTGTGGGTGCATACTTGTTATCTTCATTGTTCAATAAAGTAACATAAAACGCATTGTAATAACAGATAACAGAATTTTCTCCTGTGTCTAGTAGAGAACGCTCAGGAATGTGTTGCCTGACATTTGGGCACATTGAACTCGCAGTTATTCTGTTTACACTGGTTTTACCGCTTGATCACTTGATATTGCTTTCTCGTTCTATATCTTATCTCGGCAGCAATTACTAAGAGACACGAAAGAGTTTCTCCGACATACATTTGAGCGTTTGCTTTCATTTATTCCATTGTCTATTAGTTTTATTACACACCCAGTACTTTATAACGGCTGCAATATGTAATGAAGTCCTTTCATTCAATTAGCGCCAAAAGATATCATGGGACTCTGAAGTCACCCATCTTTCTGAATGAATAAGCCAGCTGAATCTTCTTCTTGAAGTTCAATTCGTATAATTTAAGTTACTTGAATTTCAATCACGTTGCAAAAAGTAATTTTAAGTCAACTGCTTGTGTTTTGATAGGCGTAATTGTAATAGGAATTCATTATTAATATTTTGATTTTTATGACTACTGAAAAGAATTTCATGAAAAGGCAGTTACCTGTCTTGCTTCGTCCATAAGCTTCTGAACTGTGTACTTCTCCCTGAATTTACCTGGAAAAACGAGCTGGGAAAAAAACGTTTATTTAGTTTTATGTGAACTTTATATCACATCAGCTCGGAAATTACATAGCATAAGTAGGAGAAAAATTAAAAGCATCAAATTCAGTCCGAAGTTATTTATTTAACAAAAATATTTAATATTAAGAGACTGAGTTACCATAGATAAGATCCCTAATAACTGTAAATTGTAGTACAAGTACTTATACTTCCTTCATGTTTTTCATATTTTTATACAGGGTGATACGATACCAGGCCAATAAACTTGCAGGGTGTGTAGGGATTACAGAGACGACTCGGAATCACATAGATATGCAGGGTCGCAATTGCCGTAGTTTCGAGCTATGTTGCAAAGAAGCAGAGAAAAAGAGCAGAAACAGCAATACATTAATGAGACAGAAAACACTTTATTGAAAGGCTGTACTATAACAGGTGTTCGAAATATCGACTAGGCCTGACAGCGACGCTGCATGGAATGACTTACGTTTTGGAAGATTCGCGGCATGTCACTTATCCTCCCGGCAGCTACAGGTATTGTAGTGACGAGGTCTTTAACTGGAGACAATCAGTTAAGCATCTGTAAAGCTTTTCAGCTCTATTGCTTAACTGACGGAACTGTCTACCATCCGCTACATCCCAGCCGTTGGAGCGGGCAGGAGATCAGCGACATTTATTAATGAATTTCGAAAACTATGCATGAATAATAAGTACATAACGTTGTAACATAGTATGAAGTCTTCAGCTGAAGGAATGGGAGTCTAGCGCACAAAACTCTTCATGTGGCCCCAGAAGAAGTTCATGCAAGATAGGTCCGATGACCTGACAGGCCAATGAACCGGGCCATCACTACCTATCCACAGCTATCCAAAAGTTACAGTGAGAGATGTCAGTTGTGTAATGTAGAGGAGCCCCGTTATGCTGGTACCAGTCTACAAGAATGCCGGTCTCTTAAGCTGAACGTGGTTGCTTACGTTTAGGGTTTTCTAAAGATCACACATGGGCGTTATGCTGATTGAAAAGTCCCTCACGTGTGAAATATGCTTCACCTGTGAACAATATGGACGCAGTGAATGCGCTGGCTGCAGCACTCTGTTGCAGGAACCACGTAGCAAACGTTCTCCGAAGTGGATAGTCCTCAGGATCTAATAATTAGACGCGATAAAGATGATATGTGCTCATTTGATTTACTGCGAATATCCTCCAGAACAATGGACTGAGATAAACCCACTGGTTGAGCTATCGCTCGAGACTTGATCACCATTTGGGGATTTGTTTTAGTAGCGGAAATTTGGTAACTTTAATTAGGTTGGCAACAATGACTACTTTTTTAACATTGTTGTTTAAACCTCCTCAAGCTTGTGCATGAGTTGTTGAGCAGTAGTTGTTAAATGAGTGAGCTGGAGAGTATTATTTGTAAGAGAAAGTAAAATTTTTGCGAGTTTCAAGATTTCAACATTTTTAAAATGAGATATGTCATATTTTTGTCAACATAATTTCCAACTCTTGTGTACTGTGGTCTTCTCCAATGGGCTTAGGATATATTTACTAACTATTTATTGTCAATGTGAATTTTATTTTCCGGTGAGGGCTACTTGAATGTCGATTCCCATTTGGGGAACATGGCAGATTCCATCTTGTTAACGATGTTTATTTTTATGATGGTTGATTAACGTATGTTTATTTTAAGCTCACGCGAAATCTGGGGCCATTTGACGTCCTGAAGATTCGAAGGTGAGTAAGCGTATATACAAGTACAAGTTATTCAGTTTGTGTTGTGCAGTCAATAAATGTAGTCTTGAGTAAATGTGTATCTCTGCCGCCTGGTTCTCTTCCGTAGTTCTACGTAACACATCTATATTCCATTCATATTCCAATTTGTAGTCTCTGTGCCAATCTACACACCCAGAAATAAATGTGAATTGAGAGAAAGAAAATTGGCTGTTAATGGGTTAATACCGGAAGAGATGTACAACCATAAACTGCTTGCGGAAAAGAAACAGAAACCTTCCATCACATGCTGCTAAATGTGCAGCATAAGAGATCACTGTCTCTAAAATTACTAAAGAAGAAGTAAATTAAGAAAAATTGTCTATGCATAAAGTTTTAATCAAGTAATTATGAAACAACCGTCTGCGAAATTCGCCCCAAAATGTTTGACGCCTGCGCATAAACACAGAGGTACTGTGTAAGCTAGACAACAAAGTCTGCGACCACATTTATTCAAAGAAGTCATTTGTTTCTTGACAATACAACATTACAAACAGCATTAGATAATTAAGAATTCCTTGCTTAGAATTTGTACTCGAACATCCTCATTAATCTCTGTTGACATTTCTACATTTAACTTTATTTAGTTTCCAAAAACCGAAATGTTGTTTCGTTTGGACAGCATTCGGGAGATATCCCAAAGAAACCTCAGCATTATTTCCAGCAAGGGAAATATATTGCCAAAAGGCATTAATAGAGGAGGGGCTTATTTCGAAGGTGGCTTTGTTGATATATTTGAGTAAATTAAAAAAAAAGTTTTCATATACTTCGCCTAAAAACATTTTACAAAGTCTTTATACTTTTCAATCTATATTGGACGAATAAACTGGGACCGTACCCCATTTGGATAGTTGGATATTTTTCCGAAGAAAGGGTTATAAAATATTATATTAACTGTCAAGAATTTCGAGTTATCCTGGTTCAAAAAACACTAATTCAAATCACACATAACATCAAAGTAAATGAACATTCGAATCAGATTTCTAAAACTGCCAAGTTTATTCATGTCTAACACACTTTCAACTACGGTGCCAGATCCAAGAACAAGAAGTATATATACATCATGAAAGATTTACGCCCTCTTTGGCGATTAAAATATATTTCCACATAAAATTTCTTACAAGGGTCTATGTGCACTTTAATTATTACTGTATGTACGGTATATTGAAAATGGAAGAAAAAACTATTTTTAAATAAAAAGAGGTTTTAATTAATTAAAATGAAAAGGCAACACTTTTACATACATGTTATATAGCATACTGTGTAGTACTTAATTTTATTTTCCGGTGAGGGCTACTTGAATGTCGATTCCCATTTGGGGCACATGGCAGATTCCATCTTGTTAACGATGTTTATTTTATGATGGTTGATTAACGTATGTTTATTTTGAGCTCACGCGAAATCCGGCGCCATTTGACGTCCTGAAGATTCGAAGGTGAATAAGCGAATATACAAGTACAAGTTGTTCAGTTTGTGTTGTTCAGTCAATAAATGTAGTCTTGAGTAAATGTATATCTCTGCCGCCTGGTTCTCTTCCGTAGTTCTACGTAACACATCTATATTCCATTCATATTCCAATTTGCAGTCTCTGTGCCAATCTACACACCCAGAAATAAATGTGAATTGAGAGAAAGAAAATTGGCTAGTTCTGAAAGTCGTAGCTTGCTGAACATCACGGTCAAAGTAAGCGGTTTAACGGACAACGTACCTGCTCTTAAAATTTCTTAGCCAACCGTTACTTACTGTAAAGGATGAACAAACAAACTTATGAGCTAAGATCTCAGCTTTTTCAAACGGAATCCTATCCGAAATTCGTAGAACGTTGCTGCAAAAACCACTTGAAAAGGCATCTTCTAAATTTTTGCCTGTTGCTACCTTCATTGATTTTCCTGAAAAACTTTCATCTTTGTTTTCAAGCAGTGACACGAAGTTTAAAAGTGTAGGTTTGCTCCTTTTAATATCTGAAATCGTTGATTAAACATACTTCCTAATTAATTTTTTTCTTAAATTCTGAAAACGATTCGGATAATCAATGATTCGGATAGTCGGAGTACAGATAATTGGAGTTTTTTTATTGAGAAGAGATGACTCTACATATTTCTAATTTTAGTTAAATCATAAATATCTCCAAAAACGTTAGTTCAACACTGTTAAATATCAGACCTTTATTAAATTTAGTAAAAATTACACATATTTCACGGAAAAATATTCAGATTGAAAGAACTGGATTTTGATAAAATAGCGTGTAGTATATCATAAATAATGAAAATAAATTATAGCCATAAAATAAATAAATAGATTAAGAGTTAAACTGAAGAATCTTCTACACTTACTTTTGAAAGTCCGATTTCGAAGTTGAGTGCTTCAGATAAGCTTTTTGAAAAAACATCGATATTTGTGGAACTGAACTCCAGTAAGGAAATATCATTTGTACTTAGTACATAAGCTGCTTGCAGCATTAAATCGAAGTAATCGCTTTTTTCATTGTTATTTAAATTATCTTGCAGATAGTCATAATGCAATCCTAAGGATGGTTGGTCCAGCTTGAAAAAGAAAAGACAATAATATTACGTATGAGCTGCATAAAGGAAAACATTTACTGAAAATATGGGATTAACATGATGTTAACAAAATAGTAAGGAAATAGGAGTAACATAAGTAAGCATAATAATACTGCAGTTTTCGATCAAAATGAAAAGTTTTTCTTTCGCATTCGTAATTCAAAAAGAAGATTCTTGTTTGTTTTAGTAAACTTTACCTTCCACTACTTCCTGATGATTGATAACTTGTAATTTCTATAGCATTTAATCTCGCTGGCATGGTTATTTTTAACACGGTTTTAACATTTTTGAAAGCAAATACATTCAAGCGAACTTTTTGTTTTGTTTCTTTAATTCCAATTGTCAAAAATATTGAAAATATAAAAAATGTTACTCAAAGAAGATGTCACACATTATTTTTAACAAAGTTATAATGAAGATTTGGGAACTTTGTTAACTATTTCGACAACTTTCTATTAACTATTTCGAAATTCGTCTAAGTCGTTTTAACTTTGGTATCTGCTATCATAGTAAGTTTGATTTCTGTACATAATATACTACCCAGATTCCAAAGATTTTTGTTTCAGATTTTAATCGTGTGATGGTATTTTCTCCCTCCTTCCGGCATGCCTTCGTGGTGTAACGATTAGCACACTTGGCGCGTATTCAAGAGTTCCAGGTTCGAGTCCCGGCGAAGTGCACATTTTTCTTCTACACCTGCTTTAAAATAACCTAATGTCTCTACAGTGGCGCCCGAACTAAGGTGGTGGATAATGATTCTTTGCCACCAGAATTTGGAGATTGGATCTCCTAATCCTCAGTCGCCCATTAAAAGGGGGAGTATGTAAGGTATTTTCTCCTTTCTTTCTGCATGCCTTCGTGGTGTAACGGTTAGCATACTCGGCGCGTATTAGAGAAATCCAGAGTTCGAGCCCTAGCGAGAACATTGCAATAACTTGATGTCTTTACATAAGGTTTTTGTAGAGGACGTTGACAACATGATTTTGATTCGTGGGTAAAGTCTAATATCTAAGGAAAGAAATTTGTTTGAGAACGTGTGATTAATATTGAAGAAAATTAACCTAATTCAACCTCATGCAGGTTAAAAACCTTCTATAAATTTAAAATTTTACTTGCAGTGATGTATTAGTAAATATTAGGGTTACAACTAGTAAAACATGGTATGACGTTACGCTGAAACTGATGCTTGACGTAATAAATCCAGTTTAGACTGACAAAACTAAGTAAGCCTTTAGGTATGGTGTAAAAGAAAGACAAACTGCTTCTTTCAAATTGTCAGTACTCTTTCGATCCCGATTTTAAAAATTAGAATGACAAAAACAACGGAATTTTTAATAAATTTAGTAATGGTATTAGTTAATGGAATTATAAGATTATCTCAAAACTTGCTAGATTCGTTTCCATTGATATGCATGGTGATATCATCAGGAAAGGTTGTTGATCATATTATCCCAAATGTCGATTAATAATGTTCCGCAGATGATGCTAAACAAATTAAATAAAGGTAATTAAAGTAATTTCAGCAAGAAAATATATAGATGAAATATATTAAAATGGACGTATGGTTTCCTAATGGTTACAAGACCATTAGGATACCAGAGAGATTTATCAGCAGCTATTAAGTTTCGATTAGTAAAGTACAATTTTAAATAAAGGTAATTAAAGTATTTTCAGCAAGAAAATATATAGATGAAATATATTAAAATGGACGTATGGTATCCTAATGGTTACAAGACCATTAGGATACCAGAGAGTTTTATCAGCAGCTATTAATTTTCGATTAGTAAAGTACAATTTGGATTAATTATTTTTTACTTTTCAAACAGAATATTTAAATTAGTATATTTATTTACATATAAGCGGAGAATGACGCGAAAGTTTGTGTCGTAAATGACATATGTATGTGTATATGAATTATTTGATAACGTATTTCAAATTATTTTCTCTTATTTCTATATTTATGCTAAATTAAAAATTTAAAGTCCAGAATATAATATATTTTCATGCATTTATTACATCTGTGGGTAATTTTCGAATAATAATGCACTTATGCATTATTTATTGTTAAATTGTCAAGCCGTAAATTGGTTTCATTTGGCAGTTTTATCGAATAAATAGTAGATGAAAAAGCAGGTGACTATACAATGACCGGGTATAATATAAAGATAAAATTTAATCTCAAACTGGCATATATTTTGAAGAAACATTTGTGTATTTTTAACACTCCGTCGAGCGCAATATATTTCGGAACACGGTCGGGCGCATTGAGTCTGAGAGGCCCTTCATGATTAACTAAACATTTTTATACATAAAAAGGTTTTCTTACGAAAATCAAATGCTATATAGTATAATTAAAGTTACACAAGTTATACAAATACTTTAGAGACAATAAAACAATTTTTATAGTCTTGAAAGGAAACTATTTATATTAAACAATTTTTTTAAAATAACTTTTATAAAGCTGTTGTACAAGACTAATTATCGATTTAAATTTAATTAAAATTAGAATATAAGCATAATTTCTTATTATTCTGATTGACTAGGAGATATCTGTCCTTCTACTTCTCTCTTATAGCATGGAAAACACATGAAAACAACCCAGTATACCTCAACCCATTCCCAGTATAACCAGATTCAGACGCTCTTTTCTGCGAGTGCAGAAAGGAAGGAGACACGGACCATTATTCCTTTCATTGTATTAATACAAGAATCTGGCACTTAAAGTGACCAGACGACTGTTTCAGAGCAATATGGACGTCCAATACACTTAAAAATAGAGTATTCCTTAGTAAAATAAGATAATCTCAAGACACTGCGTAAACAGAAAACACTGTCAATAACAGTATGTTTGAAATGGTCAGAATTTAATGTTTAGACGATCTAAATTGTATTCACAAAACTAAATTACATAAAATTCTTGTGTTTTAAATGTTCTATTTGACATCCCTTATTCTGGACACCGCAATTTCCAGGATAATAATATCTTTTGAAGTGGCAGAAGAGGTATTCTATCCCATTCCTCCCGAACAGCTTTCCAGAGTCCTGTTAGGGTTTTGGGACAACGTTTGGATAATGCAGTTTTTAAAAGTACGAAAGCACAAAACTCCATAGGTGACATATCGCGAGATTTAGTAGGGATATCAGTGAAGGGTATGGCCCTGATACCAGTTTTTTGTTCCATTTCTTTTAGGAAATTTACAGTGGATTTTGATGTGTGACTTCTAGCTTTGTCCTGATGGAGTTTCACAAATGGATGGCACTGTGGGTAAAGCGATGGTATTTCATTCAGAAAAATTGGCGATAAAATATGTTCCTGACAGTATTTGGAGTTAATCTTGACATTTTTTTTGCACTCTCTTTATTTTTAACTTGCCATTATAAGAAAATCCAGCAGCAATCAATGAATCCCTTAGAAAAACTTTCTTACGATTTTTTGAACCATATACTTAAATTTCTTCCCCCCCCCTTTATGATAATAAATGGCTCTTTTTTTGTTACAATCATTTAAATACACCCATGCTTCATCTATTGGGACAATTGTTTTCCATTTTTCTTTGGATAAGTGTTTCTCATATAGAATTCTGCAGCGTGTTCTGCGTTGAGCGATATGCTTTGGAAGAAGACAATGCACATTGCATTTTTTTTTTGCTTTCTTAAGATTCAAATTAACGTTTATCATTTTGTTTACAGTGGACACCGAGCATTTTAATGATTTTCCAACTGTCCTTTGACTAGGGGGATTTTCTTTTAACATTAAACAACGTACCTTTGCAATAGTCAAAGATGTCCGTTTTTTCCTTGGATACTTGTTTGGAATTTCTGTCCCACTTGAGGCTCCAATTTGACGTTTTTTTTCTTTCTTGTTGATGATATTACCTATCGGCGGTTTAGATATCACAGAACCATGACTCTCACATCGTTTTTGGATAACGGAGTATGCATATTTCTCTTCGGAAAGAGCGTAAATGTAGCCTTCGAACCACTGCTTTGTTAAATTCGCCAATTTGAATAAAAACAAAACTTTCAAGCCACAGACGATAATTTTGACTTTTAAAAACATATTACAATTGCAATTACGTCTTTTGCAGAAAACGAATGTTTATTACCGCTTACCAAAATCGTCCAAAAAATGTGCGAACAGCCTCTAAAATCCCCAAGCCGCTGGTAATTTTATCATAGAACAATAGGCTTATTTTCATTCAACAAGAAATGTAAATCTGAACGCTTGTTTCAGGTACTCAGAATATGTATTAACATGAACTAACTTTGGACAAGAAAGACTTTGTAAAATATAGAAAGTGCTTTTAGTACATAATATTCAACATTGTAACTTAGTAGATTTCCTCGATGTAATGACATATAATTCCGTTTGGTTCACCTTCGTGGTCGGAAGCCATCTTAGCGGCACATTCACCCACTCTTAGGTTCCTGCTCCTTCTGGAGCAAAAATGCTTACTTCTGAACAAGAGGAAACTATATGTTTAAATGCCCTCAAAACTGATAGAGCGTCATCCAGAATTTAGATTAAACTAAGATCCTTTCCTTGCCTAATTTTATATTTTACATTGGTGTGTATCTATTCCAATTATACAGTGTACTCCTGAAGAAAACAGTAAGTAGCTACAAATTGACCTTAAACCTTTTAACCTGAATCTGAATATAAGGCGAAGAATATAGATTAAGTAATTTATTCTAAGTAATATGAAACCTGGTTTTGTAATTCATAATATTCACATATGATTTGAAATTATATTATTACCCTCCTCAATCTGATTTACTGTTTATGGTGAATTTTATTGAATCTTGTCAATTTAAATCTGCTTAAAATTTCCCTACCGGCAGTTATCCTTGACTACACATTTTTAAAAACACACTGCTTTAGATTTAAATAAGAATTAGAGACTTATTACACGCGATTATGCTAAAGTCTATACACTCACTTTTATTACATGATTCGTGCTATCATAGGGATCCTTCACTAAAGATAGACCTATAAGGATGTCATGATTGAAGCCCTTCGTACGTAGTTTAATGAGCGTATCAATCCAGTCAAAGGACTGAGGATTCCAGTTGTCTCCTTCAATCACTGGCCAGCCACCAAGATCTTTCAGAACCTTCTTCAAAGGTTCACTTCCTGCTTTGTTGAGGCTTTCTGTCAGTGAAAAGAATTGCGTAGGCGCACGATTTATCAAAACAATTTTTTATCATCATTACATTTTTTTAATTAAAACATTATTCTAAAAATGTAAAAAAAAAAATAAGGTAAAAGTTTACAATTGGGTGCCCCTTGTTTTTTGGCGATTCTTTTTTGACGCCAAGATCGACGCCAGAAAACTACAATTTCAAGATGGCTGCTACACAAAACCAAAATAAGAAGTCAAAGAATTGCACAAACTCTGTGTCCATCTACACATCGATCTGTTTTTTCTTAAAAAAACATCCTAGAATTGCACAAAAATGGCATTGCGCACTGTCTTGACTTTATCCATGTATGCATCGACCTATTTTCATTTAAATAAAATCAGGAAGCTAAAACAAAGTTAAAACTATCATGGTAACCAGAAGTGAGGTTTCATCGCCAAAATAAAAAAAAATGCCGCTAATCGAAGGGGCACCCAATTCTACACTAGAGCCAAAAATACAGTATTTTAAAAAAAGAATTTTTTTTCTATTTTGATTGCGTAATACATAATATTAGAAACATATTTATTAATTAAAGCAAAGCTGCAAATTCGAAGAAGTTCTCATTTGCATATAACCTAAATTATATAAAATAGATACAATACAGGAAAAAAAGCAAAATAAAGTTTTAAATTGCAAAGAACTGAGCAAGACAACTACTTGGTTTGTTAAGCAATACTAGTCGGATTGAATTTGACGGATAAATAAAAGATCTTAGAGCAAGAACTAAAACTCCGTTCTAAGAGAAAGCTCGTGGAAGATAAATTAAAGACAATCTGTTTTCAGCAAGTACAGAACCAAAGGTATGGTGAAATTTGTTGCCATGGCAAAGCCTGTAAAGAAACTATTTAGTACAGTTAATAAAATTTTAAATTTATGGTTATTTGTTGCCATAGCAAAACGTGTCTAGTGATTATTTATTATTGTGCAATGTACGGAACATAACATAACGTGAAACCGCATAGCATAACATGACGTGGTAGAACAAGATAAGGAGAAGAAGGGATCCCTTCACATCAAGTAAGATGAGGCAGGACATTGTTTTGTACAACGCTTCATTAACGGATTGGCTTAAGGAATTTGCATACGAAAGATTTCATTGATACAACAGATATACAGACCATGAGTTCAAAAATTTAAAGCTAACAAAAATTATGAAATCTTTCTTCCAAAACCTTACATACTAAATATTTAATTTCTTTGATAATCTTTGAAATATTTCTTGAATTTTTATAATCATTTTCTTAGTTTAATTAAACTCTTTATATGTATATATAATCAATTTAAAATTTACAGTACGAAGAATTTAAGGGAACTAGAGGAGGTAATAAAAGACCAAAAAATGTTTTGCTACAGTAAATATAGTACAACTGCAAAATAACTTAAAAATTTGGTTCATACTAATGTTTCACAAAGAATATAAAAAATTACTCCAGGCCCACCAGCGGCCGAGCGGTAAAGTCGCTGAACACTGGTATTTCGGTCCGAGGTTCGAATCCCGCGAACGGGCTGGCTGCATGGGCGTTTTCGTGGTTTTCCCATGTGTAACGTGTATACGAGCCAGTTTCCCTTAGAAAATGTCCTCCACGGAAGGCATCCCTCGTCTTAGGCAGATAGACCCTCGAGTGTACTTTGCCGTATTCTCAATACACCACACACACACACACACTAAAATTACTTTACACTCTCAGTAATAACATTTTTTGGCAAAAACCTCAATTAGTTCGAGCACCATTATACGGGGCTCTAAATTATTAAAGACCTAATACACTGTGTGGCCAAAATTATTCGGACCTAAAGAAATGGATCTAGCGGGTGAAGTAACTTGATGTATAACCGAAAATGTTGGCAGAAAAAAAAATTCTATAAAATTTTTGGCTATGGTTCCCAGGTCATATTTATGCGTTTGTGAGACAATAAGTACGTTAAAAGAGCTTGATGAATTTGATCGTGGCAGTATTATGGCATGCCACTTATGTGGGAAAACAGTTCGTGAAATTCGGAACATTCTACACAAGCCCAAAGCCACTGTGAGTGATGCATTTGTAAGCGAGTTGACAGACAGAGGTGAGAGAGAGTTTGCGATATGTCTAAGATGAAAACCCTGCTCAGAATGATTTCGTTTTTATTTAACTTTATTTTAATTGGGTTCGCAAAAGATATAACTGGCCGAAGCGTTATGTAATTATCTTCGTCATTATTCAAGCATCATAGGAGAATTAATTTTGAAATATTGCGGATTGGAAACGCTTATAATAAGCAGTTTTTTAAAGCAGAAAGGGAAAATAAATAATATAGAGAGTTAAAGGAATACTGTAAATTAGTTTATATATATATTTTTTATCTGACACAACACACACACACATGCATATATACACTAATGTTTGTGAAAAAAGCAACGCCATGAAGAAATTAAACAAATTGGACCAAACTTACGGAAAATATAAAGCGAGGTACGACATTCAAATGATTAGAATTACAAACAATTGCGCATGCATGGCATTAAAACCAGCCGCTTTTTTCGTGTATATAAAGAACTGTTAAGTTGCGTTGAAATCTGTTTAGCGTCCTCTGCCTGCGGTGAACTTCTAATTAATGGCCAATATACCTTCTCAGTAGCAGTGCTGCAGAGTTCAAACGAGGCCGCGTAGTCGGTATGCGAGAAAGGGGTTCCGTGTCGAGCAATCGTAGCCCTCACGCAGCGTATTGCTACAACAGTGATGCGTGTTTAGAAGAAATGGACAGAGGAGAACTACATGGCTGTGAAGAATCGTACAGCATCCTCTCGTGTGTTAGCGCAACATTGCAGCACTGCTACAGGTGCTGTGGTGTCTAGCTCCAAGGTTCGTCTACATTACTGCGTGCAAGGGTTCCTGTACGCATAATTCCCATTTCGCTAAATCACAAACGTCTGCGACTTCAATGGGCATGGCAAAACAGTGCTTGGAGTGTCTTATGGCAACAAGCTGTTTTGTTCGATGAACCTCGCTACAGTTTAGAGCACAATGATGGAAGAGTACGCGTTACAAAGACGTTAGACGTTAAGAGAGACGTTACAAAGAGAATACCCCCATACCATGATGCCAGGCGTTTGCGCGGTATACTCTCACAGTGACATACCACGCAGACGCCTGGCATCATGGCATGGGGAGATATTAGGTATAATTGTTGATCGCATCGACTGCAAACTGCGTGCAACCTCAACAACGATCGTTACATAAGGAAATTGTGGAACTAGAAATCCTCCCTATTCTTCGACGCATTCCGGGCGCTGAATTTCAGCAAGATAATGATCCGTGCACTGTTTCTCAGACTGCACAAGCCTACTTTTATGGCACAACAAGTTTCGCTTCTTCCATGGCCTGCTTATTCTCTGGATATTTCGCCCACTGAGCATGTAGATTTCATCGGTAGGCATGTAGGTTTCATCACTCGCTTGTACAGCTAGTGGGGCCGCTCACTATAACTGAACTTGTCACGTCGGAGCCATATAGAAGGCCATTCCCCAGGATTACCTGTATGTAATTCTCCTGAGGAATGGCATTCCATGTGACGAGGGCCACGACTTGTAAGGCTCTCATCCCTCAGCGTGGCGGACACACAGATTTTTTTTCCTCTTTTAAAGTTTATCGTTTATTGTATCGCTATCAGTAATATGTGGAATAAATTTCATTCATTTCCGACAATTCCTTTACGGTGCTGCATTTTTCACAAAGTTAGTGTGTATGTCTATATATTTAATGCATAAGTAACTCAAAAGACAGTAGACAAAGCTTTCTTAAAAGATTTCTAAAGCAAAGTTTAAAAAACTAAGATACGATCTGCACAATTGCTGCAGGTTCGAATTCTTAAAAGAATAGGAAATAGTTGGAGCTCAGATGCAGGTTTACAGTTTGTTTTCTATGAAGGTCCTAACCATTTTAGAAAAAAAATTGTAAGTCGTACTCAAAAGTAGTACAAGTAAAAACTTCTTATTCTATTCGTTATTAATTTCATACTTCTCATTTAATTTCTTATTTTATTATGTTATGCTTTCAGTCTTGTAATAATATTTGTAATTGTCACATGTACTACATTTGGGTTCGACTTCAAAGGAATGGGTATGAAATGGTTAGGACTTTCACAAAAAAAAAAAAAAAAAAAAAAAAAAAAAAATTGTAAACTCGCATCTAATATAATACAAGCTCCGACTATTTGCTATTCATTTAATAATTTTAATGTATAAATATATGCATATATATATATTAGCTAAATTTAAACATTTTTCACCAACATTAGCGTGTCCATTAGTTGATTTTAAAGTAAAGTTAAATGTTAAATACTTTACTGATACTTTGGAAAATTGTGAAAGTATTTTTTTATCCATTTAAGCTAAAAAATATTAACTTTGGATAAATATCTATCGTATTTCTTTCACATCTGTCATATGTTTATTGTTTATTTATTCTGGCGTTTAAATTACAGAATTACTCCAAGTTAGTGATCCAGTGCATAGCGTAAATCATATTGTTGGGACTTATCTCACTTGTCTGACATTACCATCAGAACAAGCTAACGCAATTCATCGTGCCAAGGAGTTCAAGATTGCGCATGTCGTTGGCAAGAGCCTTGAGCAGCATATAGATGACAATACGGCATTTCTCAGTTCCGCCCCCAATTTTGAAGGAGAGCACCCTTTTGTAACGGGCCCAAGTGTCTTCTACCCCTCTTCTCCTACCATTATCCTCTCGAGAGGATCTTCGGCTCGCCGAATATTTATAGAGCTTTCATACCGCAGAAGTACTAGATATTTACAATGATTTATGCCTTCTTTGGGATTTTAACCAGGACCCTTCGGTACGGCAGTCAGCGTCGCTAACCACTATCCCGATTGGACGGACCGTAAATCATAGAACTATAAATCCACTATCCCGATTGGGCGGACCGTAAATCATAGAACTATAAATCCACTATCCCGATTGGGCGGACCGTGAATCATAGAACTATAAATCCACTATCCCGATTGGGCGGACCGTAAATCATAGAAATATAAATCCACTATCCCGATTGGAAGGACCGTGAATCATAGAACTATAAATCCACTATCCCGATTGTAAGGACCGTAAATCATAGAACTATAAATCCACTATCCCGATTGGACGGACCGTAAATCATAGAACTATAAATCCACTATCCCGATTGGAAGGACCGTGAATCATAGAACTATAAATCCACTATCCCGATTGGAAGGACCGTAAATCATAGAACTATAAATCCACTATCCCCTAAATCATAGAACCCACTATCCCGATTGGGCGGACCGTAATCAGAACCCACTATCCCCGATTGAAGACCCGAAATCATAGAACTATAAATCCACTATCCCGATTGGAGACCTACTAAATCCCCTATCCCGATTGGAAGGACCCGAAATCCTAGAAATATAAATCCACTATCCCGATTGGAAGACCGTAAATCAAGAACTATAAATCCACTATCCCGATTGGAGGGACGTAAATCATAGAACTATAATCCACATCCGATTGGAAGGACCGGAAATCATAGAACTATAAATCCACTATCCCGATTGGGCGGACCGTAAATCATAGAACTATAAATCCACTATCCCGATTGGAAGGACCGTGAATCATAGAACTATAAATCCACTATCCCGATTGGAAGGACCGTAAATCATAGAACTATAAATCCACTATCCCGATTGGACGGACCGTAAATCATAGAACTATAAATCCACTATCATGATTGGAAGGACCGTGAATCATAGAACTATAAATCCACTATCTCGATTGGACGGACCGTAAATCATAGAACTATAAATCCACTATCCCGATTGGACGGACCGTAAATTATAGAACTATAAATCAATAACACGTTTAGCTATAAGAAACTTTATGCCTGTTTCCCATCTTAAGAATGTGTATTTCGTATGAAATACAAGCTAATTATCTGACCCTCACGTTTTTCGCATGGTGAAATAGGTAATTAAAAAATTATTTTACATTAAAACATAACAGATGATATTGAAAGCAATTTCACTCCTGAAAATGTTTCATTTTTACGTTTGATGCATATTTCACTAGAAGACACAAACGAGTATCTAGAACGTCATTGACACATTTATGTTTTCATAATTTACATATAATTAAGTGATTAAAATATAAATTCAAAACGAGAATTACCACTGTCCATGCAGGACTGATATATTCCTTTTATCATTCGAATGTATTCAGGATCGTTTTCCGTCGCCTTTTCTAAGAGACCTGAAAAAAAATTACAGTTATGTGACTGAAACAGCATCAGCATTCCTTTTTCTTTAATCCCCAAATGATTATTATTAATAATATCCTGTTAAAATACCTATTAGAAACTAGAAAACGTTTTGTAGCCACCCAAAGAATTCCATATGTTTTCTACTGACATTTATTAATTTCTATTGTCCTCTACTTGTTTTTCTTACTGGTATCAAAATTCCCTATAGAAACCATTAAGAACTTTCTAATGGATCTCATAGAATTGGTGTTTATTGACATTTACTGGTTTCTATTGATCTCTGCGGGTTTTTGTTACTGGTTACCGGAAGGTTATTTGTCGCCCATCAGAATACTCACCCTGCATCGTACGAGGAAAAAACCCCCGCGAAAGCAACTCTAAGGTAAGTAGAACTTGAATCGAGTTCGTGCATTGTCTGTTTTTTTTTTTTTTTTTTTTTTTTTTTTTGTGTGTGTGTGGTGTGTGTGTGTGTGTGTATATATATTGTGTTTCCTTCTTTCCGATGAGAATAATACTTTATGAATTATTTGCATATAGCCAGGACTAGAATCTTAATAAATTATTTTCGCTGCTTCCTGGCTTGTGTGACTTCACCATAATGGCGACAATAACTCCCAGGATAATGTCTAAATATTTAAAATGTTGATGAACTTCTAGAAAACTGTGTAAAGGTTTGGAATGTTCATGAATGTTTTAGAAGACGAAATTTTAATGTAAAAGATGCCTTTATCTCAAGTATTTGTAATTTATGTTCAAGGTTTCTCTTTCAGCTAAAAAAGCATCTATAATCAGTCCAAAGGCGGAAGACCTTAATAAGTAGTTTCGGATCCAAAACTGAGAGCTTGGATGAATTGCGTCAAAACAATAAGGATATGCTCACATGTGTCATGTCGGATGCCTTACGTCGTTCCAAAGAAAATGTATTTAGCAATGCACACCCTTTCGGTAACAGAAATGTGTATTCTATGTGGATTTCTGAGATTCTCATAAAGGAATATTATGGTTAAAAATAGATTAATTTGCCAACAACGTCTGAAAACAGCTGTGAATTGCAAAAACAGTTTCTTTATTGCAGTGAGTGCATTTATATTTCACTCTCATTATATGACTCTATAAAGTCAGTAGAATGACGGCTTAAATCAGCCCAAGCATAAGAGAAACGAGGCTTCGTAGATGAATTATAAACATTGTGGTGATCGTATTTAGGGTTAAAAAATTAAGTTATTCTCATGGACTGACGGTATGCAAGGAACTTTTTGCAGTACTTAGAGAAACTTAATACAGAGAGGAAAGTAAATTCCAGTACACCATGATGAAACCGAATTTCATAGTGGTCTCATACAGACCAAAAATATTAAATTCGGGAGGACATACACCATGCAGTCCCAGCTTGAGATTTTTCAATTTTACTTTGTTTGTTTTGATATCTGGAAGACATCTGCTTGGCTTCGTTTCAACTTTCGAGCTCTAAACAGAACCGCGTTTTTATGTTTAAAGCCATTTTTTTCATGTATCACTTCAGATCTACAAAGAATTATAGGGAAAGGAAGTTCGAAATGGTAGATATATAAATTGCTTAGAATCTCCAGTCAGATTCAGAATTGCTCTTATTTATTTTAACTAACATCCTGTCTTTATGTTAATTATTTTCTGTACTTCCTACATCTTTCGTCGTTTTTTCCAAAAATGCAAATTTTTGTTAGTTTAAATAATGAAGGGATTTGTAATTCAGAAGGAGTTTGGTAACCCTAGCAGTTTGTTCGCAGGAAAATAAGGGTCGTCCACATTAATTGCAGTCTAGTGAGGGATTTTATAACTACTAAAATCTAAAATTACAATGCTACTTGTTGCAGCTGAGTTAATGAAATTTAGATTGAGTATTTTACTGCTTTAAATACCTGAGTTGCTAAACCTCTAGAAGTAACGTTGGCTAATAATTGTTAATTTTAAGTTATAATGCTACAGCACATAGTTTAATACAACTTTTAGCTAATTTATCTCTTGTCTATGTTAATGAGGCTTAGTTGTGCTTCGTTTTTATTCTGAAGACCATAATTCAGTAGAATAAGAAAGATTAAGGAGGCGCAATAGACAGGTGAAGATATTTAGATGTAGATTAAAACTGTGTGAAAATATATAGAATTAAACTCTGTGCGCTTCTATTTGCTTTTTTGTTTGTTTGTTTGTGGCATCATCACCTCTGTAATGGCGGGGACTTAAATTTCGAGAGAGGAACCCTCGAATTCCAAAAATTCGCGGGAAGCCATTTCGACGATTCTCATTTCCATACAACTTTAATCAGCAGAGGTATTAATTAAAAACTCTGAAAACGCTAATTTTCTCACTCATTTTTCCGAGTGGCAACCGTCGTGCGCGTTAGAGATAAAAATCTGCTTTATTTCGAAACATGTTGCCACTGTTCGCTTTCAAATCCTAGAGTTTATTAATAAAAATTTCGAAGTTTTACAAAATATGAAATAAAAATAGCATTGCCAAATATTAAATACATTATATTATATAAGGTCATATTCTGACCTTGAAGAAAGCACTCTATTACATGTGACGTCACTGTATGTCAAAAATGTTTCGTTTAAATAAATGGCTGCTGTTGGCAACTTTCTTGTTTCAGGTTAGGATAATTGACTGCCACGTTAATTCTTTTATTAATATCGAGAAAAATTTTTGTATTACGTTAAATTGTATTATGTTAAATTGTATTTAAGTCATGACGTCATACGTATACTTATTAACCTGAAGAGTCAAAAGTTTTTGTTTCTTGATTTGGCAACAAAATAATTATTTACGAATTGGCTTTTGCTTGGAAAGAATGAACTGATTTTATTCATATTGAAATATTTTTATGCACTTTTTTTTCAGGTGTACGGAATTATAAATTTTAACTGTGCATAATTATATTGTACAGGTTTACATAATTATAAATTAATAATTATAAATTTAGTTTTCGCCACAACCCGCTCATCTGGCGGGTTTGCTCGCTAGTATTTATTAGTCCAAAGGGATTTGAATCCCGAAGGACTATTAGTTTCGTTTTGGCATTTTGCGTCGGACGGATAAATGTCGGTTCACTTTTCAAACTGTTGCCATAAAATGTTAGAGTCCTGCATTATATTTGAAGAAATTAAATAATGAAAATCTGCGTAAATGTATGTATATTTCTCACATTGTCATAAAATAACGGTACATAGAGTCATCGAATTTTGAATACGTAATCCTCCAACGAATATGAGCATGTGGAAGACCAAATTTGAAATTTGAAATTTGTTTTATGATCGATTTCCTATTTTTTAAAATTTTGACGAATTTTTGATTAACAAACTCAAGGATTTCAAAGCGAGCAATGGCAACGTTGTGCAGAAAAAAAACATTTTTTATCTCCAGCGCGTGAGTCTCTGTATCGGAAATTCTAAAGATATGCTCGTTTTAAAACTATTTTGCGATATTGCTGTTGCACTGGATCTTATGGTTTAAGTGCGAGGAACATGATATTTAAATAAAGAAAGGTAACACACAAAATGTTAAAAAACGCCCCTTTGGACGTAATTTAATATCTGAAACATTTCAGATTTTTTTTTTTAATATATATATATATATATTTGTTAAATTGGACATTTTATTTGAAACCAGGCATTACTTACATTGACCTTTATAGACTATAAAAATACCTTATACGTTTGTAGGTTTCGTAATGTATCATGAGCATAAATAACACTGAATAAAAGAATATCATAATTTGTAAGAAACTGTTTTGAAACAGAATACTTTGAGAAAATTATTGTTTTCTATGCATTGACCAGTAATAATAAAGTACATTATTATAAAGGCATAGGATTCTCCATTAAAAGTAAAAACAATGTGGACATTTTTTTGCAGAATTAACAGACATATTTATTTTATAAATCTGTGAAAATAAATTTCAAAGAAGAGAGTAATTATACGTCCAATAATCCTTGGAAGGTTTAGCAGACTCGCAACATAGTTATACTGAATGTTCAGAGTACCAAATATGCCTGCCAGATATAAAAGAAATGAACTCGTGTCTAATCACCCCATACCATAACTCATATTAAGTTGATATGCCAACGAATAAGGCAAGATTATGACGATTGTTTTCCATAGTGGCATCGTGTACACTTATGTCAGTCAAAATGTTGTATGCAGAAGTGACATTCTTCTCAGATGACGTCATGCCATTTACTCATTCATATGAGTCATTCAACGCAGACGAGTAAAGGCACATTAATATACTGTACTGTTAATACTAGACAAAAACTCCGCGACACTTAAAACGATGTACCATCGCACGAGCAGATACTTTTTTCTGTTCCACGTAGCGTAATTTTTGGGCCTCGGCGAGTGATGTAGTTACGTCCTGGCTGGTCGGGATCATCAAATTCCTCAATGTCGCTCGTCATTCTTTCCCGAACCCATCTGTGCCCACCAGCGGGCGAGCGGTAAAGTCGCTGAGTACTGGTAATTGGGCCTGAGTTAGTTTCCAGGCGAACCGGCTTGCTACATGAATGTATTCGTAATTTTCTTCTCCATGTGTAACTAGGATACGAGCTTGTTTTCCTTAGAAAGTCCTCATGGAATGCATTCCTCTCTTAAGCAGATAGCCCTTGCATGCTTTGCCGCAACCAAATATGCAAAACTAAACCTGAACACATCGGTTTTTGATCGCATAACAGCGATCGTATTTCAACTAATGCGAGTAGCAACTGACATTGTAGCAACTGGCAACAAGACAATCCGCTAACAAGGTAGGCACGCTATCTTTCTTCCATGATCAAACCTGCGAATTAAATACTATGTTTCACGCTTTCCTCTTATTCAAAAATTACTGCATTGAAATGCTTTCTAGTCGACATCGATCTTTGATATTCTTTGTTACATTAAAATCATGTGTAAAAATTAACTAAGTGGCGTAAGAGGTGGCGTGAGAGTAAGAGATGCTTCTTATTTGCTTATGCGCTGTAGTGCCACTTATTTTCCTATTCTGCGAATTAATATGCAAATTTCATCTCACTAAGTCGCATCCATCATCCTGTTGTGATTTTAAATATCAAAAAGCGTAACTTTTATGGCAAAATTAAGATTACACCTGAACTAATCCTGTTTCATACGAACGAAAAGGACATGTGAACGAATAAAGAATTGAGTGGAAAGTACATTTATGAAGTAAAATAAATCCTGTATTCTGTATGAGCAAAATATTCGTTAAGTGTGTATACGGATTTAACGAATTCAATATATTATCTGATAAATTACTTGCAAAATATTAAATGATAAATAGGGCACTGCAATAATACCACAAAAATATCTATTTTTAGCTTGTAAACCATCAAATACAGCTGATCGTCTATTTTTCTCTGATCGTTCTTTGTAAATGAGTCTCTTTATCGGCCAATATTGAGAATGATATATAATTTTGATTGTTGCTCTACAAATTTAATTATCTAATTGTAGAGGTCTGTAAGTTGCTAAAGATTATTTTAATTTTAAACATGCTTTACTGTTTATTTTCCTTTCCCATCTACTAATCCCTACCAGAATGAGTTTTTAGTATCGCCTTTTGTGAAAGTGGATTAGAAGGACTATTTAAGGAAGTAGTAGTATTCAAGTAGAGGAAGCATAGAATCTAAGATAAAGAACCACTTTGAACTTTTCAGTTACGAGATTTTTCAAGAGGACCGTCATCTGCGCCCATTTGCGACTTTCATTCTTAGCAATTACCAAAGATTTCCTATATAAAGCTCAAATGTGCTCTATCTAAGATCTCAGCTGAATATGTGTATATAAAATGATTTTGACTTCCCACTCATCACTCATTTTATGTAAAGCAAATGGTTGTAAATACTGTATATATAGTCTTCCATTTTATAAGAAAAATTTTTATTTTTAATTTGTATTTTTATGCATTATATCTTGTTTCCAGGACTCACTTGGCATTTCCTTCCCTGCATCGTTACATGAAGCAACCAATTGAAGTAAGCAGGTATACAGTTTGCAACTTTGCAAGCTAGACATCGCTACATAAAGAACCAACTGAAGTAAGCAGGTATACAGTTTGCAACTTTGCAAGCTAGACATCGCTACATGAAGCAACCAACTGAAGTAAGCAGGTATACAGTTTGCAACTTTGCAAGCTAGATGCGGCGACAATGGCAAACGGAGCGGAGTCTTGACGGCGAAACGGTCACGTCGTAATGGCCACGGCGGTTAATCCATTCCTGCTCAGGATCCCTTAGTGGCGCACGTTTGCCAGGCTACTTCGTTCTTAAATCTACGACCCTCATCCATATTGAATGTGCCTGTTGATAATCGCCGGCTAGGTTATATTAAGGGCCAACTACGTTTAATTTCTTATTTTCTTAACTTGAGTTAAATGCTCAAGTGGAGGTTTTCCTGTATGCCCGAGAAGGAATCATCTGTTATTATTTCTTTGAGTGAATAAAAGGTTGTTTTAATCCTTCTCTAGACTTTGTTATTATATACGTGAACTCATCAATAAGTCGTTCTACAGTTCATTAGATTCCTCTACGTGCAGTATAGACCAAGTTCTGAGGATCATTATAAATGTTTAACTATACTATCTCACCGAAATATTTTCAGCATAGTTGTGGTCTCGAAAATGAGGGAAAAATTCACTAAACTCGTATTTTCATGAAACGTAAAATCCGTGCATAATTTCATAAAATTCCGTGCAACGAAGAGTCAAACTAATATCCAGATACGTTTTAAATTTATGTTTCATTTTTTTCCGAGTTCCTTGTCTTATGTTACGCTAATATTGCAAACATTTCGCAGGCCTTTTTATTTAAATGTTACGCCATAGCAAGGAGAAGGAGTTTTCAGAAAATGATTTTGCTGAAAGGGATTGCCATTTTCAAAATATGTATACATGTATGGGTTGCTTAGTATTCTTCACAATTGTTTGTCTGAGCCAAATTATTTCAAAGCAAAGCCCTCTCTTCTTAAACAAAGGAATGAGAAAGTTTTTCAGTGTTCAAGAAAAATTTAAAAATTTCACAGCTTGATCTACCTCACTAGTTCAAGGTTCCTATTCATTTTTGCCAAAAAAAATCGCTTGTCAAAATTAAAAATTATTTTTCTTACTTTTCAGTTGGAGTTGGATATCATCTTCAAGTTTAGAATAAACGGAAACATAAGATTTCTCCTTAGGAATGGTATGTCGTTTCAGCCAGCCACCGCAGGCAAATTGATAGAAGTCATCACATGGGTCCACATCCTCATCTAAACTGGATAAGATTTCAGTTGCTGAAAGATAATTCAAAAATGTCAATTTCGAAGGATAATTTCTCCAACTGGTTTTAATTTATACTTCTAATTCTAAAATAGTGGGAAATTATTAGTTATTGGTTTTAGCACAGCTAGAAAACAGAGATGTTATTTTACAGATTATTACAAAATTATTAAATGGGTGTAAATATAGTTGTAAGGAGAATATGATCTCTATTTTATATAAATGATGTCTCCTGTATTAGATATCTTGGGCGGAGAAATTCACTTCAACTGAAATCCGAGAAGCGGGTATTAGTTATTCGTTAATAAAGGCATTAAAGATCTCGCAAGGAGAATTCTTTTTATCAAAATTTCAGTGTGTCCGAGTTGTCACCACAGGATCCGATATTGTAATTTGGTATTATTTACACAACAACAACTTAAAAAAAGGTCTCAGTCACACACAAACATATGTTTGTTGTTGTTACCGGTCTCAGTTGTCTGACAATGGTCAGCACAAGCCCACGTCATTCACCGTGGCCAGGAGTGAAATGCGCCTGTAGTTTCCAAGAGCCTTGAGCACCAAATAAGTAACAATACAACTTCAGCTAAGTTCCGCCCCCAGTTTTGAGAGATAGCACCCTGGGGGGGATGGGTCTGAGATTCTCCCACCCCTCTTCCTCTTCCAAGAACTCTCCCAAAGACTTTCATGTCGCACAGACACTACACATTTAAAAACATCGATGCCTTCTCCGGAATTCAAACTTCGGTACAGCTTTCAGAGTCACTAACCACTATTCCGGTTGGGCGACTTACACATGTTTTACTTTAACATGCATAATCGAAAGACCTACTGTTAGAGACTTTATGGTGCATATTTGTTGTATGTCTGCTTCCGCATTTGTGAATTTCGTAAAGGACTTTGAGATCTTGACCTCCACTCGTACCTTGAGACACGAGTGTCCAACACATAAGATTTTTGAGATATGATCGATCAATTTGTCCAGTTTTTGGCCTGAGTTACGAGTCAAAATTTGAGATGCGAGCTAGCGTCGTTGACAGCACTCGCAAATCTGAACCAGTAATCAAATTTACGAGTTTTGTTCGCAGAAATTATCTCTTCTATAACCATATACCCCAAGAAGATGAGCACAAAAATAGTGGTGAGAAAAAAAGAGTGATTTATATCGAATTAAAACGTGAGATAATACCAAGGCGTAAGAGTAAAAGACTTAGCAAAGACTTGATAGAAGAAGCATACCAAAGGTTTCTCGAAGGCAAACTGAAACTACATTTAAATGCTTGCTTCAGTGTTAGCAATTTTCTGATTTTTACTTGCTTGAACGAAGTAAAAAGGAGGCATCATATTTAAACTAAAATATCCATTTTGACCGCTATCGAATACAATTTAACGATATTTTTGAGTGAATCCGTACGTAAGGACAGAATAAAGGGCACTTTTCCCAAAAAAATTCTGAAGAGAAATTTTCGTTGCGTCGTGCGTACGTACGTATGTACGTATCTCGCATAACTCAAAAACGAGTAGCCTCAGAATGTTGAAATTTTGTATATAGGATTGCTATAGCAAGTAGATCTGCACCTCGTATTATGGTTGCAATCGGCCACAGCAAAAGTGTATATATATATATATATATCCACTATGTTACTCGGCTCAGTAATTTCAGTTTCTTTATTCTTATATGTTTGTAAATTGTGCACTTTTTGCTTTAAAATGATTTAATTATGTTGTTCTTATCTTCCGGTTAAGGTTTTTATACCTTTACTAAATTTGCATGCGATATTTTTAGAATTATTAACAATTTAAAAAAGTTGTTTAAGTGCCGCTAAGCCTAATTATTTTTGCAATGGCGGCAATGTTTGTTTACATTTGAAACAACAGAATAGTAGATTTGTTGCTAGTCTAGAGAAAGTAAGCTTCGCAAAAACAAAGATAACGCCTTTTTTATTAATGGGAATTAAATCTTGCTTAATCCATTCTGGAAATAAGTGTTTAAGATTTACTTCATAATTTTCAATATAGATATTTTGAGCTTTTATGTATTTCTACGTTGGCGCAAAGTGAAAACTGAATTAATTGAATGAGAAATACTGAATAGTCTGCGTAAAGCTGTTTCTTTCTTTCTTTCTTTCTTTTTTTTTTTTTTTTTTTTTTTTTTTTTTTCTCCCGTTTGTTTTTTGTTTTGTTTGTTTGCTTAATTTCTTTTATACATGGTTTTAGATTTATTATAGTATTTAAATAGAATATGTGGCAACGATTAGATAATTCTTAAGATGATATATATTTTGTGCACTCTGAGTTAAAAAATGAATGAAATTTAACGCTGTTAAGTGAACCTAGAGCCAGAGAGTTGCTATGGTAAATAAATATAGTGAATTTTAAAGAGTGCATTTATTCTATTGTGGTATATGTGCTGTCGACGAAATAAATTTAATTCAGTTCAATAAGTTTAAATGAAATGCAAGAAAAAATGAGTATAATTTAATATTCCGTACAAGGAAGTCATGTGGTGTATACATCAGATATTTTTAATTAAATTTGCTCGTATAGAAAGTGAAGAAATAAGTAACTTAAGTAACACAGTTGTTCGCAGAATGTCTGTTTCAATATTCCATAATAATTCTCTAATATTTAAGTGTGTTAGTATTTATAGTTTATGTTTCAACAAATTTTACTTTAATGGAAAAAAAATCGTGCCATATGAAAACCAGTAATAAAGCATAATTAAACTAGCCCCCGAAAGTTCATCAACACATAGAAATATTAGCATAGCTGGCGAAGAAAACAGATTAATAGTTCTTCAGCTTAATTTTAGAGAGTACTTTCGTAATTTTTTATCAAATTTAAGGTTTTTTAATGATTTATCGAATATAAATAGACCCACAAATTTTAGACTTCTTCCGTGCTTTCTGCTTTTCATTACAGTTACTGATATTTTCCTCAAATTTATGTAAGTTTATTACTTGACGAGTTGAATACCTCAAAATTAAAAACATTTTTTAAGACAATAGGGGTTACATTAAGTATGAAAATGAATTCATATGAAATATTGTAAATCAGTACACCTCAACTTAAATGTCTTGATTCAAGGCAATAATGTGAGAGTAGTATCAATTAAATCTAAACATGAGTAACGCTTTTTTTAGTTATGAAATTAGTTATTTGTATTATTTCTTTGTTTATAGTTAAGTGTGAAATTTTCACAAAATGTTCAGGTCGTTATGTTTCCAAGAAAATTTTTTACAGATATACTTTATTTTCCGTTATACTATACCATGCATACGCTGAGATAAATTCTAGAACATCTTCATTGCTGAGATTAATTCTAGAACATCTTCAACGCTGAGATAAATTTGTACAGATATACTTTATTTTCCGTTATACTATGTCATGCATACGCTGAGATAAATTCTATAACTTCTTCATTGCTAAGATAAATTCTAGAACTTCTTCATTGCTGAGATAAATTCTAGAACTTCTTCATTGCTGAGATAAATGCTAGAACTTCTTCAACGCTGAGCTAAATTCTAGAACTTAATGCATTGATAGTTGTCATTTTACGACAAGGAATACGCGTAGACCATTTGTAACTTAGGCATGTAAACTTCAGAACATGTTGTTCTAATCATGCTATATATATATGTAATAATAAAATTCCATAGTCAAGAATATACTTAAAATTCTAACTGTATGTTCTTTTCATTTTTTAATGGCGACGTTCTCTTATTTGAAAGTACGTGGAATTAAATCCACAGCCCCGTAGTCAAGCTGTTTTTCCCGCCTTTTCTACAAGTACAGTTATAGAATGTTCTGGAGATATTTAAAGCGAGCTGGAATGGATGACGAGGCTGACGTCATTTCTTGGAAGCTCCGCCTTTCCAAAGGCTATAAAAGGACTCGCAAAAGAATATCGGGGCTTTTTCTTAAATCTTCACGATGCAGTAAACTTCATACAAAAAGTTATTAGTAATTCTTTTTTATTGACTCCGGATATCTGATTTTGTAACTGCTATTTCTCCTGACCAATAATAAATGGATCCTATTTTTAAACTTATTTTTTAAACTTATCGTCTGATAATTTAAGCTACGACTACATTTATGATTCTTTAATCATAAATCTATTTATTCCAATAGACAATCTATTTATTCCTGACAAAAGCTGGTACATCACATATATATAACCATATGAGCCATGCTATTGTAATTTTCATTTTTTAATTGACTACTTACTTTAGGCTAACGCTGTATTTTTTACGGAATGCTTTTTTTCACTGCGGTTTTTAACTTAATTGTTTCAAAAAGAGCACATTTATAGCACAGAAAAACTCCATGTAATTTTAAAATACAGATGGATATATTAACATGACTACCTTTAATACTTTTTATATCATTACACCTTTTGTACATTCATGCTAATATTAAGTTATTTTATGTAATCAGCAGTTAAAAAATACGTGAAACAAGCAGCGTTCAAAAATTATCAAATATAACAAAACTTTTAACTGTACCATCTTTGTAGCACTGGTCTGTCAAGCACACGTTGCAATTTGAATAGTTTCTCATAAGAGACATTAGAACATCAGTGTCAACTAGCATAGATGTAAGTTTTCCGGAGTCTGAAAGAGAACAGTTCATACATGTTTCAGCTATATTATATAAAACTTTGGCAATGGAAAAAATGCAGTGAAACCCCATTTTTTTATTCCCTCACTCCAAAGGATTTGGACTTCACAAATCCTAAGATTCGTGAGGTCCCGAAATTCGCTAATTAAAGTGAATTATAAAGATTATCGGTGAAAGCACAAGAAGGGGCGAATGTCTTAGTTACTTCCGCAACTAAGCCCCTTCTTGTTGTTTTTTAGCCCTATATTTCACACAGTTACAATTTGTTTATATAAATAATAAACAAATATTTCATAAAACTCGACACATCACCAAGGAATGGCTCATTTTACGCCTGATCAAACAATTAAAGCTCCAGTAACTGTTTTATTGTGTTCCAAAATAATTTCTTACCTTAAAGATAAAGAGATAAATTTGTTTTTGTTATTACTAATCTTCCTGGTATGAACCTTAGCCAATTCAGTTTCACGATTCTAATGTAGCATAGCCAAGAAGCAAGTATCATTGGATTAGGCTTGGATAATTTTGACGGAGAACCTCCTGGATGTATCCACGGGTTTCTGATACCTTGTCCCTTGCCATCAGCTCTCGAGAGAATTTACAGTTCTACAGTTCTTATAGTGCCGTCATGCCGCAAAATACCCTACAGAATAATTTTCTTTTTGATAAGAAAATGTAGGGGCAAGATTTTAAGGTAGGAAACAAGGTTCTTAAAACATTAAAATTCTCTCTCTTTTGCGCCGGAAAGCTAAGTGGTAAAATTCTGTAATACATTTAAAGGCCTTTTTGTGATTGAACACATTTGAGAAGCGATCTAATATTTAAGAGATAAGGATGGTGATATTGTAGCAAGTAATGTTGATCAGATAAAAAGACTTTATGGGAGCGGGCTCAAATGCAGCTCTTAAAGGCTGCGTTAGGTATAACTCCTGAATAGTAAAGCAGGCGCGTCAGGTATATGTCAGGACAGGGAAAAGTCTATGGAACCAGAAATTGCAAAAAGTCTGTAGAAGGCGAGCAAAGCAAAAGGGAGGGGGACTGGTAAATGAAGAAGGAAGAAAAAAGCCCAGAATGGAAGAAACCCCTAAGAGGAAAATAAAATACCTCACTTAAGTTTTAAGATCAAGGACAAGTATCTGGGAGATATTGCTAGCATCAGAGAAGCAGGTCAATAAAGGCAGCTTGAAGAAGAAGAAATGAAAAGTCTAAAAAGACTTAAGAATAAAGGCGCTAGAAAGAAGGCAAGAAGATTTCAAGAGCTCAGCAACCACATCAGATTCTCCAGTGGAAAAGCCATCGCCACTTAAGGATGATGGAGCGTGGAGGAAATTTAAAAAGTCGTGCGAGCATGAAGAAGGAATTAGAAGAAGGAATTAACGACGGAGGATTTCATCAGTCCCCAAAGAACGTTTCCTGAGAAAAGAACCGGACCGCTGGAAAAATCCGAATGACAGTAAAAGTCAGAATCAAGGAAAAGGAAGAGGACCGGAGGTGACTAGTAGACCACCAGCCAGTAAGAAAACTTCAATGTAATGAGGTCTGTTAGTTGACTTAGAATGAGTCTATGAAGAAAGAATGACCGATTACAAGAAAAACAAGAGAATTTAGAAAATTTAGTTTATTTGTATTAATGTAAAATTTTATATTGTGCTTAAAGGGTACAATGTTACTACTATTACGAGTTCCTTTTACTTCAGGGGAGGATTTAAGTTGTTAAGTACAGCTGAAAAGCGTTTTTGCTTGTAAATTTGTTTACTTCTTAAGAATTTATTTTTATGAGTTAAACACCCTAATGTTGGCTTAATCGAAATGCTTAGGAGATCTTTGCGCAAATTCAAAAATATAAAAATTAGTGAATGGTTTTATGCATTTTCTATTTCAAATTTAAAATAGAGTAAGTTTAACACAGTATTTAAGTTCCTTAAAAACTTACTCTATATGAATAGCATACTCAAAGAATTAATGCTATTGTAAAAGGACATCGATATTGAAATAGGGTGTCGTTGAGGTCTACAGTATTTAAGTAGATAACCATGTAAGAATCGGGACAGGAGGTAAAAGTGGTATTAACAAGACCAAACACCCACATTGTATCCCTTATCCATTGTAATAAACCTGGAGAGCAGGGATAGAAGACGTTAGCACGTACAAAAACAAAAGTAGGAATGTAGAAGGTTATTCATGTATTCACATATTTATATGTGATGCTACTCAAATAATGTAAAATGTTGCTCAAAATATTTTTCCTTCCGGGAATCTGGAAAGCAATGAAAGCCAAGAGAAAATTTCTGATTGAAAAATTAATATCAGCATCTTCAGTCACAATCATGTATGGAGTACAATTAGATGAAAGTAGTTATTGTAAAGGAGGTGGCGTAAGGTTTAGTTTTAGGACTAAGCATTTCTCTCAAGGTCAGTAAGGCCTTTGTATTCGAATAGTTTACATTCTGGTAAGAGCAACTTTTAAAATATTATTTTATTTTAAATAAACCATTTTCTTATTTGGAATTTTACTACCATTTTTCCTTTTCGCTAGCTTTCACCAGGATGTAAATGAGTATTCATGTCGGAATTTCTGAAACAGAGCTTCTTGCAGTAATGCTCGAAAACTTTTTCCCATGTCGTCTAGTTCTGGCATAGCAGTTATCCGGAACTAGTCCTTTTGCCACCTACCAAGTAAATCTTGTACTTAATTGTAGGTTTGATAAAAAGCCAAGGTTTCATTAGGCTGTTTAGTTTAAATAACATTTAAATAAAAAGGTTTGTTTAAACTTTCTTAGGCTTCCGTTGTCATTTCATAGACTGTCGTCTGTCTTAGTACGGTTAGAGTATTAGTAGGGTCATAGCTTCAAAGTTGCTTGTCTGTCTTAGTAGGGATGAGGAAACCTTTAGTTAATTACAGATACTGTACCAAACGTACATTCTCACCTCATACTGCTGAACAATCAGTTTGCCACGAATGACAACTAAGGCAGTCTTATACTGCTGGATGTCAATGCTCCACGATTTACGACTAAAGAAATTTTGCTGTCGCAGAATATGGCTTTTTGGGCTATAATAGATATGCTAATATAGATCTCTTTATGCTAATAATAGATCTATATAATCTTTTTAGATATAGTAGATCTTCCTACTGTTGGAGATCTGTGCTGCTAGACATTGCTTATTCTGAAACTATAGAAAATGCAAATGGCGAATTTCGGGGGTTAAAGGGAGAATAGCAAAAGAGATCTGAGATCGCAGATTCACTTCTTAGAAGCGTCTCTCTATGCTTTATCTATCAGAGCTTCTACAGATGCCCGCATAGTGAATAGAATGGTAAATGGAACTATATATACCTGCTAAATAATTATTCGATCTTCCCTATAGGTATTTGCTTGTTCTTTACTCAGCCACTTAGCCATTTCCGGCTAAGTGGCTGAGTAAAAAACTACATCGAATTATGCTAATAATTATGCCCACTTTTATCAGCATAACTCGATGTAGTCTCCGAATCATCTGTTTGGTGGATTATACGGTGCCAAACCTCAGTTTCTTTCCAATAGTAAAACCTCTCTAGATGTTTGGTAAATGCAGAAATCATTGTCTCTGGCGTATAAACGGCATCTTCATTCCTCATATTTAACAGCATCAGTGTACAATTTTCATGTTGATCCTGATCCAATAAGATGCCTCTAGACCCGGCTGCAGGGTAGGCTACTACCCGGGATCGCATCAGATTTAGATTATTTGCACACCAGCATAAATCTTAGCAAATTGCATAGTTTCGTGGTAGCGGCATGATTCTTCGATGTGAAATAATTTAATTGAGAGTGCACGTAACTACAACACGTTTTAAACAGAACATGATTCTGGATGAAACAAATCAAGAACTATTGTAATATCTTTTAAGAAAATGACAGATATAAGAAAAATGATAGTAACCTTTCGTGAAGCATCCGTTTTCCAGACAGTGTTCGGAAGCGGAAGTGTCTCTGCGTTGCGAAATCTCATGAATTGTTTCGTCTAACGTGCATAAATCTGGAACAAAATCTAGAAGGAAAAATTTAATCTATTTTAAAATTTAATGATAAAAAATCTTACATGTATATCTAAGTAACAATAATATGTGCATTTAAAAAAGCTCAGTTTAAAATTGGACAGCACAATTAAAGGTATATATATCTTTATTTGTGTTACCTGTAATGTATGAAACGCCTGCATTCTATAGAATACCCAGATACCCAGACATTTTATACAATGCCTGGCGTTTTTAGGCAAAGTATGAAATATGAGAATTTTTATAAATTTTATCTTGACATCGTATATTATACCTAGGAGTTCTATGAAATGGCCAATGCTCTTTAAGTAAAGTATAAAAAGAGATCATGGTGCAGTTACGTATATGGAGACTATTTTTTAAAACACGTTCGTTCTTCATAATACAAATATTATAACTAGGAATTCTATAGAATGACGAACGCTCTTTAAGCAATGTAAGAAAATAGATCATGATAGAATGAAGTATATGGAGACTATTGTTTAAAAGACATTCATTCTTCAAAATACAAATATTATACCTAGGAATTCTGCAGAATAACGAACGCTCTTTAAATAAAGTATGGAAATAGATTACGATACAGTAAAGTACATGGAGACTATTGTTTAAAAGACATCCATTCTTCAAAATGCAAATATTATACCTAGGAATTCTATAGAATGACGAACGCTCTTTAAGCAAAGTATGAAAATAGATCATGATAGAGTAAAGTATATGGAGACTATTGTTTAAAAGACATTCATTCTTCAAAATACAAATATTATACCTATGAATTCTACAGAATAACGAACGCTCTTTAAATAAAGTATGGAAATAGATTACGATACAGTAAAGTACATGGAGACTATTGTTTAAAAGACATTCATTCTTCAAAATACAAATATTATACCTATGAATTCTACAGAATAAAGAACGCTCTTTAAATAAAGTATGGAAATAGATTACGATACAGTAAAGTACATGGAGACTATTGTTTAAAAGACGTCCATTCTTCAAAATGCAAATATTATACCTAGGAATTCTATAGAATGACGAACGCTCTTTAAACAAAGTATGAAAATAGATCATGATAGAGTAAAGTATATGGACACTATTGTTTAAAAGACCTCCATTCTTCAAAATACAAGTATTATACCTAGGAATTCTATAGAATGACGAACGCTCTTTAAATAAAGTATGGAAATAGATCACCATACAGTAAAGTACATGGAGACTATTGTTTAAAAGACGTTCATTCTTCAAAATACAAGTATTATACCTAGGAATTCTATAGAATGACAAATGCTCTTTAAATAAAGTATGGAAATAGATCACGATACAGTAAAGTACATGGAGACTATTGTTTAAAAGACGTTCATTCTTCAAAATGCAAATATTATACCTAGGAATTCTATAGAATGACGAATAGGTCTTTAAGTAAAGTATGAAAATAGATCATGATGCAGTAAAGTATATGGAGACTATTGTTTAAAAGACGTTCATTCTTCAAAATACAAGTATTATACCTAGGAATTCTAAGAATGACAAATGCTCTTTAAATAAGTATGGAAATAGATCACGATACAGTAAAGTACATGGAACTATTGTTTAAAAGACGTTCATTCTTCAAAATAAATATTAATGGAATCTATAGAATGACGAATGGTCTTTAAGTAAAGTATGAAATAGATCATGATGCAGTAAAGTATATGGAGACTATTGTTTAAAAGACGTTCGTTCTTCAAAATTCAAATTTTATTTTGAAGAAATAATAAATGAATCCCATTAAAAAAACTTTTATTCAAAATATGTGAAAAAAGTAGTGAGATAATTTTGGTGCACCACAATAAATTTATATTCTTTGTCTGGCTGAGTGTAAAAATTGAGAATATCCACTTGACAACGGGAGTTAAATTCAGAAAAAGTCATTTGTTTCACAACAATGTCCTTTGAAATACCTTTTTTTTTTCCATGATAGGCCTCACAAGTTGGATGTACATTTCAATATCATTACGTGGAACGTTTCCGTGTTTGGTTGAAGGTTTTCCAGCATTTTATCACGTCTTCCGTTTCGAATAGCCAAATAATTTTCATGACGTAGTACATGAAATAACATAGAATCCGTGATGTAATACTGCATAATACTAACATCTTCTCTAAAATGATACGCGAGTTGACTTTTTGTTTTCCTCAAACATCAGATCTTAGTGATTCAGCAACCAATAGTTCAATGGTTACTTCCTAGTCATTTCGGCTTTTTTTACATTATTTATTAACTTCTGGTAAGTAGTTTCGGTTATTCGAAACGAATCGAAGACGTATTTCATACTTGGCCAGTTAATCATTAGACGTTCTATAGAATACCCTAGCAATATATGAAATATTCAATCGTTTCATAAATTTCTGCTCAGTTTCCGGCATTCTATAAAATACCTAGGTATTCTATAGAGGGCCGGATTTCAAACATTCTCTGTAACATATACATATTTATAACTGCAATCGCTCTCCGTTTATATGTCGTTCCATTACACATGAGAGCTTGATGAACCAGTTTGGTGCCGGCGAATAAACATTACATTGAACTCGTAAAGAAATTCAACTTTGATGACTGAGAAAAACATGTTTAATATTTTATTCTGGAACATATTTATTGTATATCTAACTTCTGCTTTCGAGATTTTGAAAAATTTCTACTTCAGAAAAATTCGCAGTTTTTTTTTTTTTTTTTAATTTATCTGTTTCATTAAATGAAGAGGTGATCTGGTTCAGTTTGTTTCATTTGATCATGACCAGCACTCTTGAGCTATCTGACTAAGAGAAAGGATGCTTTCGTGGAGCGACTTTCTAAGGAAAACTGGCTGGTGAACATGCTAAACATAGAGAAAACTACAAAAATCCGATGTAGTCATCTCGTTTGCAGAGATTCGAACTAGGACCGAATTACAGCGTTCAGAGGCTTTTACCGTTCGGCCGCTGGTGGGGTGCAAGAGGCGATAATGTGAATTTTATTTCACTTTAATATTATTATTTGCCTGTGCTTTCCTATATGCATTTCGTGGTCAAAGTAGTATTAATTACTTATATTATAGAGACATTATGTATTTTTGGAAGCAGGCAAGGTAAAAAATGAGCAACGACTTCGTTAGGAATCGAACCGCGGACCTCTGAATTACGCCCCCAGTGTGCAGACCACTACACCACAGACGCACGCTATAAGGCGAGAGAAATACCTTATATATTTCCCTTTTCAAAGGGCGACGGGGGTCTTTAAGGGACCCAGTCGGCAAATCCTGGGTGTGGAGAATCATCATCCACCACCCTTATAGTTCGGGCGCCACTGTAGAGATATTAGGTATTTTTGGAAGCAGGCAAGATAAAAAATGAGCAACGCCTTCGCCGGGAATCGAACCACCGACCTCTGGAATACGCGCCCAGGTGCAGACCACTGCATCACGAAGGCACGCTAAGAAGGCGGAACCTTATAATATGAGTAGACAATTTTTTTTTAATTCTATCTTTGCAGATATCGGTGAATGAGTTAAATAATTAAAGCGATGGTACATATTTCATATATAAAATCTGTAATGGTGTTTGATTGAAAGTATGCATTTATATACATTTGTGAAATATTTAAAGTATAAAAAATTTGGATTATTCTTGTATTCTAGCATTTGAACAATCTAAAAACATAGTAGGATAAAATATAGTATATGGCCAGTGCATACCCTCTCGCCAATTTCGTGTTTCAAACCACAAAGAGCTTTAAGTGAAATATCACTTTCATGATTTTTAACAAATACGTAAAATCTAATTCATTCTTCCAATTAATATCTGGTTGTAACGATCGTTTTCCGCCAAAAACGTTCTTAAAGTTATAAAAAAGATGAAAGCAAAACCTTTTGTGCAGGTGGCCTCCCAAATCTATGAATTTCTGCCAACGTTTCGGCAGTTTTTCAAAACCTTCGGCTCATGCAAGTCCAAACAGAGATCAACCTCATCTCGGACGTCCTCAGGAGAATAGAAGCTAGCACCAGTTAAGATGTAGTTGCAGGTGAGAGAGAAAGTAGAAAGGAGCGGTGTCGGGGCTATACCGTGGGTGTGGCAAAAGGATAGCATTCGAGTCCGTACAGAGTCCACCCGGCGAATGCAGACACATGTGGTACTGCATTATCTTGATGGAACATTACATTTTTGGGCCGAAACCCAGTTCGACGTTTTTCCTTAATGCAGCGTCAACACAGACTGGCATCTTGCTGTATATCTTATTGTCGAGGTTTTTACCTTCTTCCAGATACTGGATAACACCATGGCAATTCCACCAGATACAAAGCATGATCTTTTGTTAGTCAAACTGCGCCTGTTGATGAGAGCACCGGACGCAGACCAACCTTCTTTTCGGTCTGTCTTGTTGAAGTAAATCCACTTTTCATCACAAGTCATGATCCGGTACATAAGTTTGTCCTTGCGTTGATAGAGCAGATTAGTGCAGGCCCAAACACGTCTGTCTTTATCTGCTTGAGTCAGCTCATACAGCACCCAGCGATTGACTTGTACGTCAGGCTTATGCGGCACTAGAATCTAACTCCTTAGCAAGCTCTTGAGTGGCTTTATAATGATCTTCTTCCACAACTTCCTTGTTTTTGAACTTTCGATACCAAGCCTTCACAATGTCATATGATACAACATTACTACCTAAAGCTTAATACATGATTTGGTGACATTCTGTAGCTGATTTTTTGCAACAGAACTGGAAGTAAATGGTGGTTCTAATCTGGTAGTGTGATAGTTCCATTTCAGACACCTTGTTTCAGACACTTAATGATAAAAATTTTAATTTTTTTAATTTCACAGTACCATGTTCGACAACGCGAGCTGTTTGCGCAGACGATATTTACAGTGGCGGGAAACTTTCGTTAAAACTCGATAGATAGGTCTGTAATACGAAATATTAAGTTACATTTTATTAGGTATAATTGGCCATGTGTAAAAATCGCCTTTGTTCCCTAAATTTGTA